ATGGATTCGAAAACGGTAAAACTCAACTGTTTAACTCTAGGGGAGTTGGAAAATGAGCCTATTTTCAAAAATAGTGGAGTGTTCCTTTAACGCTCATACAGCATTTCATTCAGTAATACTTACCATGATTGTACTTTTCAGTTGTTCGACGTTCTGTATAATTGTTCTTCATCCCGCAATCAGGTTCCTGTTTCACTACATCCAGTGTGTACACTAACATCCCTCCAGCAACTGCTGTGACCACAACTACTGGCACACATCAGGTGAGTCCACCTGCAGTCAAAAGAGGAAGTCAGTCAGTATTTGAAAGGATGATATTACTAATATGCGGATGTTGTTCTCTGCTTTTGAATTAGATTGAATTCTACAGACTTTGAACTCTGATATGATCAAAAATACAACAAAATCATCATGTTCTTGATAGTGATATATGTTGCGATATGCTATTTTCTTATGGAAAGGTGATTCAGAAACATGAAAAAGAAAAAATTCTTAAATTTCAACCAGTTCTTTTATATCTCAACCAGTAAATTGTAAAAGACTAGGTTGTATGGCAGATAGAAAGGACAGCTTGAAACAGTCAGATTGCTTTGATGAACAAACTATTTCAACTTCTTAATCTTAATTTGTTTCACTCCAGGAGTTTTCAAGTTACAACTCTCTTGGTCAGAGTCAGTTCTCGCAGTACTACGTTCCTCCTCCCAGTTACCTGTCGGCTGGGTTGCCCAGCAGTGATAGAGATGGAGCAGGTGTAGTGGCACCTGAATATCCAGCCATTAAAACTGAAGGCAGTGCCTCAGCAAACCTGCCCAACACAACAGGTGTGTTAGCATTATCCCTCTGTAACTTCACAATAAACCTTCTCACTTATTTAGAACTTTGTGAATATTAGTACTAGCATTTTTCCACCTACTGTAAATGGCTTAAAATTGTTTGTTTTCACAGCTAAAATTAGAATAAAAGAAATTACATTTCATATAAATCCACACACTCCCATTCAAAAGTTAGTGGTCAGTATTTTTTTTTCTTCTTTGTAGCAAAGCACGTTAAATGGACCAAAAATCACAGTAAAGACGTTACAATTTCTATGTTACAAATGTTACAATTTCTATTTCAAATGAATGCAGTTTTTAACTTTCTATTCATCAAAGAATCCTGACAAAAATGTTTCCACAAAAATATTAAGCATCACAACTATTTTCAATGTCTGTAATAAGAAATGTTTCTTGAGCAGCAAAAAGTATATTAGAATGGTTTCTGAAGACTGGAGTAATGGCTGCTGAAAATTCAGCTCTGCATCACAGGAATAAATATATTACAATAGAAAAGTTATTTTAAATATTGTAATAATGTTTCTTTCTTTTTAAACTATATTTTGAATAAATGTATGCAGCCTTGGTGAGCACAAGAGACTTTTTCAAAAACATTTTAAAATCTTACTGACCACAGACTTTAGAATGATAGTGTATATATTATACTACTATCATAAATTATACTAAAAATGGTAAATATTACTATATTAAAATGCATTTGGTTTACTTTAAGATGTAATTCAGATATAATTAATTTGAGTATTAATTGTTTCAATAGTAAGAGTTTAATAGTAATTTTAATAGTAACTGGGAGGAAAATGTTTGCCCTATCCTGGACTAGATTATGTTGTTGTTGTTATTGTGGATGTCCCTCACTCTTCTGGCTCTCACTGCAGTTCATGTTTTTGCTCATTCCATCAGATGCATCCCCAGGTGTGACGATCCCAACAGGTGTGGCTCTGCCTGCTGGGATGGCCCTCCCCACAGGAGCAGGGGACCAAGACGAGACCAACCGCAAAAACCCTCCTGGCAAAGCTAAAGGCAAAGCTAAGAAATCTGATGGTTCCCAATCCACAGACAATGACCTTGAGGTAAGGAAGCAACCTGGATAGTTTTAGCAACACTCTGAAGTCCAAAAAAAGTATACAAATGCAGACACAAAGAAAAAATGCATTAAATTGAGCTTGCTCAACTAAACAGAGAATCAGCTTTACAATTTTTTATTTATTTATTTTGCTGAATGTTAAAATGGAGAGTAGAGTAATGAATTATTAGATGAGCATAATGCATTGGGCCAGTTGTAACAAACATAAGGAACTCTTTCTTTTCTCAGCGTGTCTTCTTGTGGGATCTGGATGAAACCATCATCATTTTCCACTCTCTTCTTACCGGCTCATTTGCACAGAAGTTTGGCAAGGTACAGCAAATTTCTTTTACACACTGGCAGAAGTAATGCTTGTTTGTTTTTTTCCCCCCATTCTCACATTCTTGCTGTTTCCTGGGATGCTTTTGTTTTTTCAGGATCCAGCGGCAGTTCTCAATCTGGGTCTTCAGATGGAGGAGCTGATCTTTGAGCTTGCAGACACTCATCTCTTCTTCAATGATCTGGAGGTAAGCAGAGTGTAACACAAAGTTCAGTTTGCTTTATGTTCATGTAAATAACATTCACACCTCCTGTCAACACAGGAATGTGATCAGGTCCATGTTGATGATGTTGTCTCAGATGACAATGGGCAGGACTTGAGGTAATGAAACCAAGTCAGACTTTATGACGAGTTTTCCAACAATGTTACAACTTACACTAGCAAATAGCTTTTCAATAACATCTCAAAACACACATATTGCTGTTGCATTTACGACAAATGCTCTTCAAATGCTTAAAGCTCTAAGTAACTTATTTTGTTTAGTCTGTACATCTTAATATTGATTATTCTGGTTTAGCAACTACAACTTCTCCAGCGATGGCTTCAGCGGGCCCAGTGCAGGCGGTGGTCCAGGGTCCACCACAGCGGTACAGGGAGGAGTGGAGTGGATGCGTAAGCTGGCCTTCAGATATCGCCGGCTCAAAGAGATCTACAATGGATTCAAAGGGAATGTGGGAGGTGAGAGTGTCTCTTATCTCTGCTCCAAGCCATGCTGCATTTGCCCACAGGGTGGCGTTGTTACGGTACCATTATTACTTAGTCAAGTAGTAGTTCCCTGTCTTGCCTTCTGGCATACTTTTCCCTCCTATTTGGTTGATATCTAATCAAGAATACTGGAATGAAGTTCATGACGGCCTCATGTGTGCTGTCTGATTGAACTGACAGTAGTTATGCAGAAGAGGTGGTTCATTGTTCCAGCAAATTATAGCTTGTGCACAAGCCAACACGTACATACATGACTTCAGAAGCATTCATGCACATACTTCAGGAGCAGTGGTACAGTGAGAATGAAGTCACACCAAGGACGATAATTATAAAGATGTAGTTTTAAAAATTGTTCTAAATTTAAAAGAAGAGCCCACACCACAATTATAACATTAATGGCACAGAATAATTATATTGTTGGAATCACTTTCACAACGATTTCTTCCAGCTTTGACAGCCAGTCAGAATCCATCATGCCTTAAAGAGCTTGATCATTAAAGTGACAGATGGCATACCTATAGTGCATGCTTATAATAAACAAAACATTAATGTGCGTTTGTGTGGACGCTAATATAGTTAGCATTGTAGTTGCCATTATCATTTTCGTTCTTGGTGTCTACGGGCCTTTAGCTGTGTATTCTCAGTTCATTATTGCCTCACATTTTTGGTCCAATGAAATGATTGACATGCACTGATTACTGTTACTAATGCACACTAACGTTCAAAAGTTTAATGTCAGCAAGGTTTTTTTTTTTTTTTTTTTTTTGAAGAAATTAATACTTTAATTCCGCAAAGATGCATAAAAACTGATTGACAGTTGAAGTGACAGTAAAGACATTTATAATGTTACAAAATATTTCTACTTCAAATAAATGCTTGTCACTGAATCTTGAATCCTGAATTTAGCATATTGCTAAATAATACCTTTCATTTACTTAAAGGCAGAGTAAGTGATTTCTGGTAGCCAATGTTGATATTTGAAATCACCAAAACAAACACGCCCCTACCCCAAAAGGGTCTTGCCCCTATTTTGATAGCTCCGCCCCACATATACGTACGCAACCCAGGCAACGATTAGTTCTGTGAAACAAAGCAAAACCAATGTTACACCGTGTCTACGGACGTGAGCGGCGCGGCGCAACAAATCCCCGACAGAAAACTGCTGCCGGGTTCTATTTATGACGTGCTGACAAATTTCAAATGGTTTTCAACGGTCGTTTGATCGCGTCCAGTGTAGGCAGACTTTAGCTGTTGTAGACACGGTGTTACTCACCTACTGAGAAGAAACATAGCAACCTCGGCGTCCGATCGCAGGCCTCCACTCCTTGAGTTCTCTCCAGCGCTGGAAAGCTGATCCGATATTTACACGGGTCCTACTTCTTGCCTTATCGTTCCGCAGACATTTTCCTCTTTTGTTTTTTATCCACCATCCCTATCTTTCTGTCGCTCTGCTCGGCTAATGTCCGTCCCATGCACTGAACGCGCTCTCCTCCACATCACGAGTAGACACACCCCTTATTGCTGATTGGCTACAAGTTTGTTTTGCGATTCGGCCCGAATCAGTTTTCTAAAGCGTTTTTGAAAAATCACATACCCTGCCTTTAAGTTATTGAGGTTTTTTGTCATCACTGTTTCATTCTGTGATCCTGCATGTGGAATATGAATGACAAATATTTATTGGCCTGTTTTGGACATGTTTCCTACAATGACGTTTTGCATCTAAAACATACAATACAGGCACTGATGCACAAATGTGCATTTGTACTAGGTGTCTAAACTATAAAAAATGAATAAACTATTATAAACTCAATGATTTACATTTAGCAGACGCTTTTATCCAATAAAGGATGAAACTGGCTTATTCTGTGGTCCACAATAGTGCTGCTCCAGATGGCAAGAAGTGATAATGAATGAGATGCTGATAATAATCAATGAATACTAAGGAAGTTTTAAAAAAGGAATCATATCATGTTCCCGCAACAACATTAGTTGAACATGTTCCTCTGGTCTTTAAAAAAAATTATATTGAAAAAGAGTCAAAACCAACAGTGAGGAATGAGCCACAGAATCTACATCTGGAATTTTGTCGTTGCTGAACATTGAACATTGCTGCTAGTTGTGTTGCATGGATAAACTAGCTATACAGACCAGGTCCAGCAGTATCTTTAAATTACTGCTTACCAACAAGCCTAATATATAATGTCATTTAATGCCAGCCTCATCTGCTGTCCTTGCAGGTCTGCTGAGCCCAATGAAGAGAGACCTACTGCTCAGGCTGTGCTCGGAGATCGAGACTGTTACAGATGCCTGGCTGAGCACTGCCCTCAAATCTCCCTTGCTCATTCAGTCGAGGTGAGATCTGCCTCTGTTCCCTGAGCGTGCATAATTTAGAGGAAATCATCAGATCCGCCTTTAGGCATTAAACATTGTGTGTGATGTGCTGGAGCAACATGCCAAACAGGTTTCTCCTTCAGCTTTAATGTAGTGTACACACTAACAAAGGACTGATTGTTTTGGTGTTTGTTCACAGGGGCAGATGCATGAATGTTCTGGTCACCACCACTCAGCTGGTTCCTGCATTAGCTAAAGTGCTTCTCTATGGCCTGGGTGACGTCTTTCCCATCGAGAATATCTACAGCGCCACTAAAATAGGTAATAGGTTTGGTTTATCAAAAATGAAATTTTAAACATTTGCTCATGTCATTCCAAAGCCAGATGTTATGCAGAACACAAAAGGAGAATTTTTGAAGCGTGTTCACAGTGCTGTTTCCTATACAGTGACCAGGGGCTGCAAAAATATGACACAAACGAACTAGCTGTCAAAACCTAAAATAAACCTTTCCATAAATTTTTATTTGATAAAAAAAACCTTTGGAATACATGGGTTGTGAAAATTAGGCATGACTAAAGACTAGGGCTGCAACCAACAATTATCTTGATTTCGATTAGTCAACAATTATTAGAACAATTATTGACTAATCGTAGATTATTTCACCTATTAATCAGTGGGCTTTGATCGATTATTCAGCTTTTACAATTCATGAAACGTACTGAGTTGTAATTCTAACTGAATGCAACACTGACACTATTACGTCATGTAAAACAGGGCGGAAAAGCTGGGAGGTTTTAAAAGAGTGCTGAGGGAATTAAACAAATGAATATATGAATTAATTAATTATATGAATGTACCTCTGAAGGTTCTGGCTGTCTTTAGAAACGATTCGATGGCATTTGTTTTCATCGTTGCTCCATGTACTACCTAAAGGAAATGTTCTTAATCGCAATACTGCTTTGTCCACGGAGTTTACGGGAAACAGCTCTAATTCAGCTTTTCCATAAGCGCCACCTGCTGTCAGCGAGTGGATTTACAGAGACCTGTATTTACATTCAGTCTGTGTGCAGCAGTTTCTGTCTGGCCAAAAACTGACCGAATTTGCATGCCCTGCTGTAAATTTTGACCGGTTGATGAAAAACAAGCTTATGTATTCTACACATTTAAACAATTCAGATAAGTTATCTAGAATTATTCATGGAGCAGATAAAATACATTTCATCATTTATTAATCAATTATCATTTTGACATATCTTTTCTTTATTTAAAGGCTGAAATGTGAGGTTTACCTTTTTATGAAACTTTTTCAAAGCTTTATTTGAGCATTTACATTAGATATTTCAACATGCTATTAAACTGTTGTCAGTCAAGTTGTCATTTAAAATCCGAACATCATTGGTAATGTTATTTTTTTAGTTATTATGCAAACAAAAAGTCATTTTATTTGTTGTTTGTTGATTTTTAGATATAAAACTTGGTGAAGTGATTTATGTGTCGGTACTTTTTGAACATCTCCAGCACATTTTAACAATACCGTGATAATACTAGGGTTGGGTATCGTTTTGAATTTTATCGATTCCGATTCTGCTTATAGATTCCGATTCTTTTCGATTCCCAGTTTCGATTCCAATGTGATTAAATAATGATATCAAACATTTATCCTGTGTCTCTTTTTTGCAAACCATTTATTGGAGCTGAATACCATGAACAAAAACCAGTACTTCTGTGATTTGAATGTTTGTAACACAAATGATACTGTGTGGCTGAAAAGACTGTGAAGCTGTTTCATTCATGACAGATGACAGCTGCTCTCTTTAGGTCAATGGCAGCGCGAACGCAAGTTTAAATGTTCAAATCACACTGGTGTGATCGTACTCTGCACGGACGAACCAATAAGTGATCACAACATTGATCGCACACGTCAAAGTCTGAGGAATGAAGCAGACGAATCATTGTAATTTAGGAATAGTATCACTCCTGTGTCTCTTTTTTGCAAACCATTTATTGGAGCTGAATACCATGAACAAAAATCAACAGGCTACATAAAAACTGGACTCTTTAAGAGCTGTTTGTGTGCAAAATAGAACTGCATGATTCTGGATAAATTTAGATTTTTTTTAATTTTTTTTTCCCAAATGGAAGTTGTGGTTCTCTCATGATTCTGAAGATAAAACATTAGAAAACTAAACTAAATCACATGTAATTTATGAATGAATGATTAAATGACTCAATCAAGATGTACTTGTTTCATTACTGGATGAATCCGCGTTCTTGAACGCATCTCTTGTGATTCAAAGACAAATACATTTTAACAGCCCCTTTTCGCCACCTACTGGCGTAACAATGTAATCGATAAATCTTCATTTGAAGCGTCAAATTACTTTCAAAAGGTGATTTATTCTATTTTAATCACTACCATACACCAAATGTAGCCAAACTTTGGAGCGCTTAGATTAGCGAGCAAGGTCCTGGCAGATCGCTAGATCCGGTCCTCACAGATGAAGAAAAAAAAAAGTGCATAGGAGTCGATAGGCGGAAACGAAACTTTAATTTGACAACAAGTTTTCGATTCCCAACCCTAGATAATACTGATAACCGTTACATCCTTAAAGTGTTATATAAATAAACGCAACGTGAGTTTACTGGAGTGCCGATTGCAGACCTTGTGCAAACATCCACATCGCTATGATCATATGCTTTCTTAACTGCTGCTTTCCCACGCTGTCATTTTCGTTGTGTGTTTAGTTTGTTATTAAGAGTAAACAGAGTAGAGCACATATTTGCATGCTCATCTAAATGTCATTCAGCAGCATCAGGATATTTGCTAACAGTGTACTGTTCAAACTTCTTTTTACCCCTAACCGAAGAGGGAAAAAAACACTTTGCCGTGAGTATATTGGGGTCTTTACACATGACAGCATTTTTTGTAAAACTTTCCCACAATCTACTGGCTCGACTTTGTTTGCACTTCTCATCAGCGTGTCTTATTTTACTGGACTGCATGTGGGAGATGCTGAATTACAATCTTGCTCTACAGCACCACACTGGTCAAACCATGTTAATGCAGGCTCTTACATTAGGTCATATGAGATCAAAGGACTACTCGACAACAAAAATATTTGTCGACAATCTTTTTTTTTGTTTTTTTTATGTCGACTAATTGTTTCAACTCTACTAAAGACCATAAGATATCATATGGCTTCAGAGGACTTTATCAGGATGTTCTTTGAAATTCACCTTGTGTTCCACAGTATAAAATGTATGGTTTTGAATGTCATGAGGGTTAATGTATGTATGATGACAGTATGTTCATTTTTGGGTGAACTCTTGTTTTAAAATCATTGGTATCGACCTGAAACAGCACCAGGATAAATGTACCTGTTATGTGTAACACATTATCTGTGCGTGTCTTATTTTACTGGACTGCATGTGGGAGATGCTGAATTACAATCTTGCTCTACAGCACCACACTGGTCAAACCATGTTAATGCAGGCTCTTACATTAGGTCATATGAGATCAAAGGACTACTCGACAACAAAAATATTTGTCGACAATCTTTTTTTTTGTTTTTTTTATGTCGACTAATTGTTTCAACTCTACTAAAGACCATAAGATATCATATGGCTTCAGAGGACTTTATCAGGATGTTCTTTGAAATTCACCTTGTGTTCCACAGTATAAAATGTATGGTTTTGAATGTCATGAGGGTTAATGTATGTATGATGACAGTATGTTCATTTTTGGGTGAACTCTTGTTTTAAAATCATTGGTATCAACCTGAAACTGAGCACCAGGATAAATGTACCTGTTATGTGTAACACATTATCTGTAACTGCTGTTAACAGGAAAAGAGAGCTGCTTTGAGCGCATCATCTCTCGCTTTGGGAAGAAAGTGACCTATGTTGTTATCGGGGACGGTCGTGATGAAGAGTTTGCAGCAAAGCAGGTACAATCTCAATACCAGCATTTGGACATTTTATACCCCTATCAATGTGATCATATCACTATATAATACCTCCTATTATGCCAAAATATTCCTGATGATACTGCTATTCAGGGGTTCCCAAACTTTATGATCTAAATTATTTACACAAGATACACTAACATTAAGAAAACATGAGTAAAATGTTTTTGAAAGAAGTCTCTTTTGCTGCATTTATTTGATCCAAAATACAGTAAAAACAGTTATATTGTGAAATATTATTGCCATTTAAATTAACTTTTTTTCTATTAGATTTTTTTAAATGTAATTTATTTCTGTTATGGTAAAGCAGAATTTTCAGCATCATTACTCCAGTCTTCAGTGTCACAAAACTCTGATTTGCTGCATATTATTTTTGTGGAAACTGTGGTACTTCTTTTTCCAAGAATACTTGATGAATAGAAAGTTCAAAAGAACAGCATTTATTAAAAATATATAAATCTTTTTGTAACATTATAAATGTCTTTACTGTCACTTTTGATTAATTTCATGCCTCCTTGCAGAACAAAAGTATTAATTTCTTTCTTAGAAATAGAAGAATAGAAATTCCTTACTGACTAGGGCTGGGTGAAAAATATCGATATCTCGATATTAATCGATTCTCATTTTTACGGAATGATATCGGTTCTTAAATCCCAAGACTCGATTATTCTAGCCTGTTTTCAGTTAATGGACGGAACATTGAAGGGTACTTCCCATCCAATAAATTGCAATAAGCATTGTGCTTTGGTACTGTTAATATGAAGCAAAGTCTCAGATTTCAAATTCTGTCTGTTCAAACAATAAATGCCGTTTTGGCGGTGTTTAATGTGGAGTGACAGATCGCTGTAGCGCCACAATTCAGCGGACACGTGAACTAATCATCTCCTCCACATTAATACCAGTTTCAGCACAAAATAAACATGACTAAATATCCGAAGGCAAGTTAAAAGAGAGAGTACAACTTTACAATCCGTGTCCTGTCTCAAGTAATCGCTCAATCAGTGTTTCAGCCGCGCAAAGACGACAATATAATGGCTTGTAAACAATGTCACGTAACGTCGCATTTACCTCAGAAAAAAACAAAACATATTCGGTGACCATAAACTCATTAGTCATATAGAAAAATAAACTGTAAGGAGGGGCATTTTGCTTAATATATGAACCATATAACATATTCATTATATTTTTTACTGTTCTTCAATGTTTAATTTATGTTTGAATAAATCCATCAAGTTTTTATGACAGCCACCATTATGTTTATATTTAAAAAAAATATCGGCCGATACCGATCTTCGGTCGATCGATCGGAGCATCTCTATTATTATGTAATTGTAACTTTATTATTTTAAAAACTTCATTAAGTGAAATTTTAACAAATCAGTTAATTTTAACCTTCAATATTATAGTAATGTAGTACCAAATGACTCTCATGTATATTTTACAGCATTAGTTGAGAGAGTTTTTTTTTCCCTTGAGAAAATTTGGCATGTGTACCAGATACAGTGGGTACGGAAAGTATTCAGACCCCCTTAAATTTTTCACTCTTTGTTATATTGCAGCCATTTGCTAAAATCATTTAAGTTAATTTTTTTCCCTCATTAATGTACACACAGCACCCCATATTGACAGAAAAACACAGAATTGTTGACATCTTTGCAGATTTATTAAAAAAGAAAAACTGAAAAATGCTCAGTATTTAGTAGAAGCACCCTTTTGATCTAATACAGCCATGAGTCTTTTTGGGAAAGATGCAACAAGTTTTTCACACATGTGACCTCATGATTCATTTTTGCTCTGACATGCACTGTGAGCTGTGAGGTCTTATATAGACAGGTGTGTGGTTTTCCTAATCAAGTCCAATCAGTATAATCAAACAGAGCTGGACTCAAATGAAGGTGTAGAACCATTTCAAGGATGATCAGAAGAAATGGACAGCACCTGCGTTAAATATATGAGTGTCACAGCAAAGGGTCTGAATTCTTAGGACCATGTGATATTTCAGTTTTTCTTTTTTAATAAATCTGCAAAAATGTCAACAATTCTGTGTTTTTCTGTCAATATGGGGTGCTGTGTGTACATTAATGAGGAAAAAAAATTAACTTAAATGATTTTAGCAAATGGCTGCAATATAACAAAGAGTGAAAAATTTAAGGGGGTCTGAATACTTTCCGTACCCACTGTATGTAGCCAAAATAATCGATATTGAATCGAATCAGTAATCGAATTGAATCGCAAGCTTGTGAATGAGAATCGAATTGAATCGTGAAATTTGTGTCAAAACCCATCCCTATTACTGACCGCAAACTTTTAAAAGCTAGCGCATTTAGTAACGTTCCAACTCTCCAATTTGAATAGGCCTGACGAAAAGGTTCACAAATGTTGCTTTATTCTATTGATTTACATTTTCATTGAAAGTTCTCTTTATTGATCTGTGTATGTTTGATCTAATCTGTGTGCACCATCACTCTTTAGCACAACATGCCGTTTTGGCGAATCTCGTCTCACGGAGACCTGATTTCCCTTCACCAAGCTCTGGAACTGGACTTCTTATAGATGGAGCTGGAGGTAAGACATGGATCTCTCCAGCTGCACCCATCAGCAATCCCATCCACCCCTTACCTGATCCAGCGCAGCCGTGGAGCAGCTGACGTAGACTCTGGGACGTTAGCGGTCACAGACAAGAACTCAAGACGGTCTGTGACACGACCTCACAAGCCCTCCATTCCCTCAATGGCAGCTATCCTCCCCTTAGGTTGACTCTTGCACTGGGACGCCACACAACCGTACACAAGGAAAAGAGGAAAAAACTGTCTCCCATTCTCATTGCATCTTTCTCTTGGAAAAAGGATGTACTTTACCATCTTCAACATAACTGGTTTCACCAAAGGAACAACCCATGACCAAAGGACTGCACTGGCACAGAAACTTAGGATTAAACTTAGTTTAAGTCTTTTTCTGCATTCTTTCTAAAGGGCTGAAAAGTAAGTTGGAGTCATTTTGATTTGCACTCATTCCAAAGGTCAGGTTCTTATTAGATGGCAGGTTACATGCTTTAGAAGCCTCCAAGAAATGATGTGATTATTTCAGTTCTTAAACAGGATCGCAGACGTGGCCTGTTTAATATGTGTACAGATGGTACCAACAAGGTTTAGCATAGATCCCACTTAATTTTTCCTGTATCTATGGATTTTCCTAAATGTTCCTCAGTTCCTGGGATCTACTTTCGTTTACTCTTCATACACACTTTATCATTTCTGCTTTAAATTAGGCAATATGACGAATTACAGAGTGCCTAATGGAAACCATTTGTTTTTGTACAGTTTGTCCCTCTTTTTCTTTAAAAGAATAAATCGCCCAAAAATAAGAATTCAAATTATTTGAATTTTGATTTGAAATTATATGAAATTTGAATGGAAAAGTGGACTTCAAACTCCAAAAATCACCATAAGTCAAATACATCTAGTGTGTGTTATCTGATGGAAGTCATAATGAGTACAGACCTAAATTTAAATGGTTTACAAACAGTCTTCTTCCCCTTTGTTTAGCTCTAAAGTCTAACTCGGTTATTAGTGTTTTGATGATTTCAGAAAACTGTTGGATCTCAGCAATCTGTCTCTACTCACGTTTTACTGCATGGAAAAGAGCAGCATTTTTGTGTTAAGAAAGTTGAGTTTTATGGGTTTGAATCAACAAAACGATGACTTTTTTTATTTTTGGTTGAGCCATTTCTTTAAAAATCCATATCAAGGGGATGTTTTGAGGGGAACATAGGCTCCTGGATTGATACTGTCCCATGTTAAATGTCTATAATGCAATTATGAGCCACATGAACTAACTGAATTCTCGTCCCCTGAGGAAAGTCACATGGCTGAGTGGGATTTTGTAAAATTACCTCTTGCATATAGCCAAAATTCCCCATGGATTTGAAGCTGCAGGGCCCCAGCCTGTGACCGTTTTTTTTTTTCATTTGTACATGTTTGGGAGAAAAACTGTGTGATAGTGTGCAATACATTTCTGGTCAGTGATAATTGATTTTCAATTATGGTTGAAGGTGGTTTTACGAGCAGGTTTGGGTGTAATATTCCTAACTGCTGCGAGATTTTGACTGAACATTACTGAGCCTGAAGAAAAAGCATTTTCACTCAAGCAGCTTTGACAATTAAGAATGTGTGTACTCTTCATTTGTTTGCATAGATGTGTGTGTCTGTGTTTTTTTTTTTCCTGTATATATTTATATTGTGCCTTTTAACTATAATCAACAATCAGTAAGTGTATTATCTTAAAAGGGAATTACTGAAATATGACAAACATTTGCAATATGACAAACATATGTTTGTATTGTTTGTTTTTCTGGTGAAGCGTTACCTTTGACTCGTAGGCCTATGCTGTTATCTGTTGTTTTCTTTTAGTTTGGTACTTTTGATGTGCTCTGACTTCTTTTCTGCAGAAATCATGTTCTCCATAGCTCAGCCAATCAGATGCTGTTCTTCTTTAACTTGAATCATAAAAACTATTCTTCTGGTGCTTTTCCCCCCCTATGTCCTACTTTGTTTCCTGCATTTTTCAGGGAAAAAATTTTTTAGTCCCTGTATACTGTCTGCATTAACTGGAGATACATGACACTATCATTGTGAGATCTTGGGATTTGTTACTAATGCATAGACAATCAAGGGATGTAATGGCTCTTTTAGCCAGAGAATAAATGCTCGATCTAGCCTTGAGCTTGAGCTTTTAGATCAGTAGGAGAACTTCTGGCTTATTGAAACTGGCTGAAGAAGCAAATATCTGTACCTACGCTGTTTATGGTTTTGTGTAAGTGACGTTCATTAAATACTTTGAGGCTGGCCTACCTGCTTGGCTTGTTCATCTCTGACTCATAATTGTGTGAATGAAAACATCTCCAGGACACATTTAAACCCCAAATCTTTTGATTTCAGTTGTAATGTAGACTTGTCATCCCTTTTGACACTTAATTAGCAAAGAGTTGGAACGAACAGAACAACTGGAATACATTTGTCTGTGCTTTTCTAAAGCCACCAAAACAGACCTGTGAAATTTGTGTGAATGTAATAACATCATCAGAACACCATCAGATATATGAACATAACATTAGAAAATAAGATTTTTATTTTTTCAGACAAATAAGATAAAGTTTATATTTTTGTCAAAGTTATTTCCACCAAAACCAGGTATTCTCTCTATAAAAAAAAAAATTATATAAAACTTTAAAAGTTCAACCAAGACCTAGAAGTAGAAATTAGCAGCCATGGTCCTGCTCCTCTTGAGGGCTCCAGTGAAAGGCTGCGCAGGAGCTGCAGCTGCATCTTCTGGGGTCAAGTCTGTGTCCATGTCATATGTTGCAGCTCTTCTGTACTTCCCTTCAGTGGGTTCAGTGATTTTCTCTCTATCACCATTGGGATGAAAGCATCTGTAGTATATAATTTTCACTAGTATTCCAAAGACGTACAAGCCTAGTAGTGTCGGGATCACTTTATAAGGATTTAAGGAGCTCCAGCAGCCTGCATACTCAAACACCTTCCAGCACCAGAAGCCCAGCAGCATCACTGTGTCCAAAGCCATGAAACTATAATAGAGAGCCATCTTTAATTTGATGCTTTTTTTTGTTACATTAAACCAGCAGAAGTACCAGATGAGTCCAACAGCAGCTCTGTAGAGCCATTCCCAACCACGATGTTCCATGTAATTTGTTTTCTGGCTCCAGGCCACTAAAACCAGCAGCATCCACAGGGACAGGAAGTGAACTATGATGTAGCATGGCAATACACTGCAGAAGAGTGCCAGAGCAGTTACACGGGGAATAATCACCAACAAGTTCCACAGGAAGTAGACGCCAGTGGAGATCCAACTCATCTTGCGTTTTTCAGGAAGATAAATACGCATGCTGCGGTGGTACATAGCAACGCTACTGGCAATTGCAGCAGCTGATGTGAGGATTTTTAAACCTGAAACAAATGACCATTGCATGAAATTGAACATCACATCATATATATGCTTATATGTAGATAATCACAGCCATTCTGATGCTGAAACACTGAGCAACACAAAGTAGTGCTGCTGCTGAATGCATTGATGTTTGGAATGAACCGGTTGAGTGAAGGATCCAATGACTCATTCATAAAAAACAACAGCTGCAACCAAAATCACATACTTTCTAGTAGGTACTTTTCTTCTGAATGAGTAAAAAATGTGCCTTTGGACTGTAGCAGCACTCTTGGAACGCTATTTTGACAATTAAATTTGAGGACAATTGTTAAATCAAAATAACAGTTCTTTCACCATATACTCACCATTGTGACATTTCCAAACCCACTTTAGTTCGTTTTAGAATCACAAAAGGTGATCTTTTTAATATTCTCTCAAATGTCAGTCCATCCACTGAAAGTCCACACAAACCAAAACGTTCACATATTAAAAAGTATAAAAAGACATGAATTGAATGGTTTAAATCAGGGCTGTCCAAACTCGGTCCTGGAGGGCCAGTGTCCTGCAGAGTTTAGCTCCAACTTGCCTCAACACACCTGACTGGAAGTTTCTATGCCTAGTAAGAGCTTGATTAGCTGCTTCAGGTGTGTTTAATTAGGGTTGGAGCTAAAACTCTGCAGGACACCGGCCCTCCAGGACAGAGTTTGGACAGCCCTGGTTTAAATGGATAGTTCACCAAAAAATGAAAATTCTGTCATTAATTACTCACCCTCATGTCGTTTCAAACCCGTAAGACCTTCGTTCATCTTCGCAACACAAATTAAGATATTTTTGATGGAATCTGAGAGCTGTCTGACCCTGCATAGACAGCAACACAACTGAAATGTTCCCAAGTCCAGAAACGTAGCAAGGAGATCTTTAAAATCATCCATCAGTGGTTCATCCGCAATTATACGAAGCTACGAGAATACTTTTTGTGCGCAAAAGAAAAAAAATAACGACTTTATTCAACAATTCGTCTCCTCCGCGTCACCCTGTAGCGCCATTTTGGAGAGTATCAGATACGTAAACAACGTATGCTGTTCTGTGTCAGCTGCGTCACGCCGGATCTGTTTCCTACGTTGTTATGAACGAAAACAGCGTATCCGTGTGACGCAGCTGTCACAGAACAGCATATGCTGTTTACGTCCAGCGGATACTCTCCAAAGGGGGGGGGGTTTAAAACAAGTGCCTCATCCGGGTATTTAAAGTTCACATTTTCTTTTAGGAATTTATAGTGTTAACACACTAATCACATTTAATCACTATTTAAACTAAAAATGGCATAGAATTGTGCATAAGTACACAAATTGGGACGCACCTATTAAGCCATGTTAAGCATTTTAGAATAACCCGCTGTTTACTGATTGATATACTGCACTGAGGTGCTGTCTATGGAGATGATCTAAAATATTTGTGGCTTGAAACAAATTGAAACTTGACTGGTCTGAAGCCCTATGAGTTCTGTGGAATTCTATGTTTTGCCTTCCAGGTCTCTGCAGCAGTCACATGACTAACTTTGAATTATCACTTTAAGTGGTTTTGAGACGTATAAGAAATACGATCTGAAAGAAACAAAGTGTTCTGTATTTGAAACAGACCTGTAATAAGCTCCAGCTCTCCTCTCTGTAGGATTATAGACATCATGAGTGTGAGTTGTGGGGCGCTTTCAGAAAATGTCTCAAATAGACGAAGCATCTGAAGATCATGGTTCAGGTACACAGCTACACCCTCTGTGAAACTGTTAGTGGGATGACGAACATCCCTCGTAGAAGTTTCTATCACCCCAGCATACCTGTCAATACAAGGTACTTGCTTTTACTCAAGCAACACTTTACAACAGCCAACACTGAGGCCACAATTTGGATTTTGCTCTGCATTTGAAGTACATGTTTTATTTCGATTTGTAAACAGATTGACTTTCAGGTTTCATTAAAAATATCTTCATTTTCATTTTGGAAATACATGAGGGTGAGTAAATGATGATGAAGTATCTTATTTCTGTAATAAGGGATCATCTAAAAAATATACACTAAAGTGTACTGAAAATAGAGAAGCAAATCTGTCACAGACCTGAGGTAGACTCCGAGCTGAAGAAAGTGGAATGGTTTGATCAATAAATGCCTCTTTGCAAATGTCTCCACCTTAGTCTCAATCTTCTACAGGTAATCAGAGGACCAGAGCCAGCTGAACACCTGTAACAACACTGGAGAGCCCAGCAGCAGAAAGATCATCACTGCCATATACACATAGGCCCCATCCTGATAAAATGACACAACAGTCCAAATGTCCAGCGCTATATCCAGCAGGAACAATAACAGTCCCACCAAAGTAAACAGGTATTCCAATAAATGAAATAAAGTGAATCTCTCCTGAGTCTCCTCCATGATTCAGTCCAGTGTGAGAAACCTTACAGCATGATCATGTAATGTTTTTTTCTGTAGAGAGAGATATACTGTTAAAAAGATCTGAAACAGAAAGTAAAGTTAACATCCACTCACAACTCCTCCCATGTCACTTTGAATGATTAGTCACGCATCAGAAGGTGTGCTCGACTTGAGGCGGCGCTGCGCAGAACGATCAGTGACTTCAAAGTACCAAGCGAGTAGAGATCAGACGGCTCCTATGCTTCTCGGTAATTTGATATAGCCTAGTCCTACACCGATCGGTCTGCGCAGCGCTGCTTCAAGTCAAACACACCTGAACTCG